TTCTCTTTATTTTCCACTTTCAGCACTTTAAAGAAAATAATTGCAGAGGGTAGAAATATGTAGCTCTTAACCCTCCCCCGCACCCATCATCTATGCCTGCAAGCCAGCCATCAAGCTTGTGCTCGACAGTATATGCACGCTAAAAATGAGAGGGTGTAGCATGCAGCCCTAATCCTCTGCGGCTGACATTTCAGCGCCCTTCGGAGTCCTTCCCCCCCCTCGCACACACTCTCTTTTCACATCAAATGGATTTAGTGCAGCTGAGTGAACTGTCCTTAGATCTTCCTAGGAGAGGCTGAGCATAAGCTAAGAGGCATGTAGTTTAGCAGCATATAAGTCATGTATCCCTCTGTTCACTATTCACAATTCTGTTAAAACTTGCACAGCACTAAGGATATGCTCTGACTGGATGTCACCTCAGGGAATAAAGTCATTTATCTAGATTACTTTTTCCTCTTCTTCCTTGGCTTTTAATTCCATACCTACAGGCAAGTCAGTAAGTCATTGCTCACATGTATTAAATGTATTTAAGGGGCGCAGGCCTTCAGGGACTGCCTGGCTCTGTTGCAGTCCATTTCACTTAGCCTTGACAATGGATTCCTTCTTCTGACACAGGACGTTTTCTGTTGCTGCTTTGACCTTAAGTGTTGGTGCTTTTCAGAACTGAAGGTGAAGGTTATGTAAATTATGGGCAGTTCTGAATCCGGAGCATGGGTGGAAATGCCTTGCTCACAGCATCGCCCCATGGCCGCACACCTATGGTGCTGTAGACAGGGAGTCTTCACGCTGCCCTAGGCTGTGCAGACGGGTAGACTGGTCTTGTGCATTTTTTTTTTAACCAGAGTACCGTTTTGTAGATGAGTCCATGACCAATCGGGCAGGGAGAAAACAGGCACAACTGTGACTCTGTGCCATTTCTGACAAATTGAAGAAGTGTAAAATGAAGGGCTGCTGCAGTTGATACAGATGATTGATAATCCACCTTTGCTACTATACGTGGATGGCTGGTAGCAAGGTGACTTAACGTCAGTTGAGGTAATTGTGTAATAGCCTAGGTAATAGCATATGGAAGCTAAATATGAAGAAGTTCTTTTCCAAAAGGTCTGAGGTCTTTACATGACTCCATCTGCTGAACTGCTATAAATACAGGAAAGCAACGCAGGCTCTCACTAAATAGGAGAACACTCGTATCTGAATGCATTGAAAGACCACAGTGATGTGGAATTTCGCTAGCTTTTGCAGGAAAGCAGAATTTCACCAAATGAGAAGTCCAAAACTAGTTCTTTTTTTCACTGAGCTGGACCACAGCTCTTCAGAAAGATATTTGAATCTGAAATCCCTTAAAAATTCCAAGTGATGGATGAAATTTCTCAAAATTCAGCTGATTAGATCCCATGGTGAATGAATTCTTTGCCAAAAATGTGCACCTAGTTTCTTTCTTTGCAGTCATTGAATCTAACTGTGGTTTTTGTTTTATTAGACTAGTAAACCCAATATATGCTATAGGTGGATATTCGTAAGCTGTTCAAATGCCTTTCAGTTTATTTCAGACTAAAGTCTTGCTGAACCAGTCTCTCAATATCAAAATCCTTTCCTGGAGTACCATGAACCACTGCATTGCCCTGGTATCTTGGGTTGCTTTGTTACCTTGCTTACGAGCCTTGTAAACCCACACTTTTTGGCAGCTTATTTTCCCTCAAACTATGTTTATTGCTATTCCTGGCCTTCTTTAATGTTGAACTACTCATATTTAGTGTTACATACTTTGGTCATCTTGTGTACACTGAGTGTCCTGGAATGATGTTATGTTCTTGTTCAAAAGAAGTCTTTGATGAATAGATACACTCATGATTTTCCACGTGAATCCAAAAAAGTTGAGTTTTGAAGTATCCTTGGCTGCAGTACATGGACCACCTCTCAGTGCTATCAGGTGCCGTGCTAGCTTCACCCTGCCCTGATGCTGCAACCCTACCCTGGGGTGTTCCTGGATACGTGAGCCGCCTCTTTCCATAGCTGTGGGGCTGGTTCCTTCTGCTTATTTTCCCTGCCTCTCTTGTTGCTTTTGGACCTTGCTGGCAACACTCCAAAAAGCAAGGTCTGTCTTCTTCTTGGAGCAGGAACCTGAATGAGCCAGGCAGCTTTCCAGAAAGCCCCTTTTTGCACCTCCAGTATTTCCTGATTTGGTAACTTCTGTTTAGCATAAATAAAACTTAAGTTAGTCTAAGCTGTTTGTCTGTAATGTATTTTAACTTACATGGGAACTTATTTCGAAAGGTCATCATATAATATTGCCTATATTATTTTAAACTAAACGCTGCATCTGGACATACTAAGAGTTTGGATTTTAGGACAGGTTTACAGGAGTACTGTACTACCCAAGGGCATGCACATCTTGGTGGAGTATCTCCTCTTCTCTGGACTGAAGATTAATGAATTCTCTTCAGTTGCCTTTTTTCCTAAGGACTCCCAGGCATGTCCTGGGGATACTGCATTACCTAGAAAGGAACAGCCATTTTCTTGCCACCTGTCTGACCTGTGTCACAGAGTCAGTCTCTGCACTGTTCTCCTAGAAAGTCTTTCATCCAGTTTGACAGCAGCATTTCTCCTTTCACGGGACTCTACGGGGTCTGTTCAAGAGTCCTGAACCTGCTGCCTCTTTGCACCCTATTGACACCATCTTCTGCTCCTTCCAGGGCAGATCAACCTTCTGGTTTTGTGTCTGTGTTTTTTAATAAGCTATTTGATCAAGTTGGCCTCTTTGTTGCCTTTCAGCTTCCTGCGTTAGTCTTTTGGACAAGATATTGTGTCTGCAGATAAATGCTGTTCCTCCAAAAGAGTCTGTAGAAACTGCATCAGTACAGATTATGGACAAAGTGTCTTACCATGGCCGCTTTCTTATGTCCAAGTGAAAAGGGGTGGGGAGGCAGTGTCTTTGATCTGGGAAACAGAACACTGGCACCGGCAAGTTTGAATTTCAGCTGGTGGCACTCATACAAATTTTCTAGGAATTAAGAGATTTGTTTGCATGTATCCATCTCGGATCATGTTGGTTTTTTTAACAGAACTACATGATTGGTCCTTTGTTGTTATTTCCCGACTGTGATGACTTTTCTGTGGTTTCCTAAGGTTTCACCAGCGTCCTGGCAACAGGACCATCTTTACAGGTAGATAATACTCTTGGTCCCTGTGTCAGCCAGTGAGATAAGTAATCTTGGAATAAGCCAGGCCTTTTGACTGTTGTGTGTGACATTCTCTTTCTGTCGGCTTTGGGCTGATGGCCAGCAATCATGCCTTGCTCCATCTCGGTGTTCATGGTTCCTTGGGTCAATCTGAGATGTGAAAGATTCTCTGTTTACTGAGTAAATTGTCTGGTTTTGTGGTCTCTGCAAAAAGTGTTTTGACTCTTTGCCCACTGTTTCATGCAACAGACTGTTGGTGGCGTGCTTGGCAGCATAAACATTTGTATGGATTTTGCCTTTGGCCCTCAGCAGTGATTCTGTACGGAGTGCAAGTGCTTAAGTAGTGAGCTGCTGTTCCTCTAACCATCAAACTGCCTTTCACTGGTTTGCCTGATTTGCAGAACACTTAAGATCTTAGAATCACAGAATCATTCTTACTGGAAAGGACCTCAGGACATCATCTAATCCAGTTCAGCCCTTCGGAAAGCATATGTGTAGATGATTACAGACATCTCACCACCCTCTTCAACATTTACATTTGAAGGGAGCCAGGCCTTTCTAGGACAACAGGAATGGATGAAGTTTGGGTTTTGGACTGTTGCCAGCAAGGTCCACTTCTTGGCAACACATAGCCCAACTCTTCTAGCTTTCTCATGGAGAATCTGACTCTGAGTTTGGACCATATATGAGAAATCAAATCTGAGGATTTTGTGGACTGACACTTGAGTAACTCCTCTGAAGAAGTCCTTTCAGAACTAGATGTCTTTACTGCCAGTATCTATAAAAATGCCACGTGTCTTATCTGAGAAGGCCAGGAATCCTTCTCAGATGCACTTTTCTAGTCATGGTCAAAGACCAAATGTATTTTGTCCTTTTCCTCAAATCCCTTTCTTTTATGGGCTGTCTGAAGCTTGTTGAGAGTGTGTGTACTGGTAATTCTTTTTGCTTAAGCTTGGCCTTGGCAGCTATGGTTCCCAGGCTTGCTTTGGCTCTCCATGTAACTTGAGGTTTCAGCCGCTTTTGAACCTCCTGTCCAGGACCTGCAGTAGATTGCGCTTCATCTAGCTCGCCGTGCAGGTGGTATCTGGTTCTCTAGGGTAAACTGTATGTGACCCTCTTCTCTTTGGGTGAATGTCACGGAGAGTAGGAAGGTACTAAACAGACACACTCTGCTAATTGCACCCATAGCAATTTTTTCATCTTTGTCTAGTCCAACCCCCTGCTCTGACCCAGCACAGTCAACTAGAACAGCTTGCTCAGGGCCATGTCCGGTTGGGTCTTGAATACCTCCAAGGACGGAGGTTCCATAACCTCCATGGGCAGTCCTAATAGTGTGTGATCACCCTTGCAATGAAAAGCTTTCTCTTCTGTTTACATGGAACTACATTTCAATTTGTGCCTGTGACCTCCTGCCCTGTCAATGGGCACCACTCAGAAGAGTGTCTCTCTCTTCTTTACTCTGTCCCATCAGGTATTTGTACACATTGGTAAGAGTCACCCTTCCCGCCCCAATCCTGAGGCTTCTCTGCTCCAGACTAAACAATCTTACCTCTCACAGCCTCTCTTTGTATGACAGATGCTCAAGACCTTTAATCATCCTTGTGACCCTTTGCTGGACTCTTTCTGGTATGTCACTGTTCCCTTGTACTGGGGAGCCCTGAACTGGACACTGTCCTGCAGGTGTGGTACCACCGAGAAGAGGGGAAGAATCATCTCCCTTGATCTGGTAGCAGTGTTCCCCCTAACGAAGCCCAGGATGTTGTTGGCCATCTTTGCTGCAAGGGCCCGTTGCTGGTTCACGTTCAACTTGTCCTCCAGGACCCTCTGGTCCTTTTCTGCAAAGTCACTTTCCAGCCACTTGTCCTCCAGCCTGTACTGGTGCTTGGGGTTATTCCTGCCTAGGTGGAAAACTTTGCTTTTCCCTTTGCTTAACTGCAAGATATTTGTGTCGGTCTGTATCTCATCCAGCTGAGGTGTCTCTGAATGACAGCACCATCATGAAGTGCATGAAACACACCTCCCAGTTCTATGTCATCTGCAAACTTGCTGAGGGTGCCCTCTGTCCCTAAATCCTGTTTGTTAATAAAGAGGTTAAACAATATTGGCTCCCATTATGGATGCCTAGCATATACCTAGTGACTGGCCTCCAACCGGACTTTATGCCACTGATCACAACCCTTTGAGCTCAGCAGTTTAACCAGTTTTCAGTCCATTGCACTGTCCCAGTTATTTAGTCTGTACTTCTATGTAAATGACACTTTGTGTGGCCACCTGGAGTTGTGGTCACGCCTTTATCAAGTGCTAGCCATTCTGGAAACATCAAGAAGTATAGGAAGGAGAGGTGGATGAGTGGTCATAGGACTGTAGGATAAATGAGGTCATAAGGGACCTCAAGATGTCATCTAGTCCAACCTCCTAGCGGGATCAGCCACATGGTCAGACCAGAGTCCTTTGGATGGGAAAGATCCGAGACCCTTTGCCAGGTGAGAGTCACAGGCTTAGCCTTATAGTGTGAATTACAGGTGTGGCTTCCCCCAGAGAAAGAGGACTTCCAAGTAATCAGTGTTCAGCGTGTGTGGCCCATGTGCACATACTGCTACCCCAATTGTATTCAGCCTTTCTGATAGAATCATAGAATCATGGAATCATTTAGGTTGGAAAAGACCTTTAAGGTCATCAAGTCCAACTGTAAACATAACACTGCCAAGTCCGCCACTAAACCACGTCCCTAAGCACCACATCTACAGGTAGAAATGGGAGAACTGAAATAGTGACAGGTGTGCTTTCCCTTTGTAGCCAAGCGTGGACTGGGAGAGATTGTGGAGAAGATTTAGGCTAGAGGGATACTGCAGACACCATCTTTCTGGTCTCCAATTATGTGGCACAGCAGTCCCTCTTGTAGTTCCTGTGCACTATGCATTACATTTCAAGCACTGCTTTAGGTGACGGGGTAGCCTTTTTTTCCTTCTGGGATCCTGAACATTACCAGTATTCCTCTGCATGTTAAAAACCCAACTTAATAGCTCAGTGATCCTCAGTAAGTTGCTTTAAATCATCTCGTTCCAGTGGATTTATGTTTCTGATCTAAAAATAGTTCAGTAGTTGGTATTGAGGTATTGGCCTTGCTGACATATTTCAAAGTGATAGGAGGTTATACTTTTTTAAGCTTTTTCTTAGCACATGGCAGAAATTCTCATTGGCTGTTTCTTCCCTGCCTACATCATTGGTAAGACAGCTGTTGGGGTTTTTTGTGTTGTATCTTCTTCCAAGCTGTTTTTAAAGACATTTGTGTTGCCCTCAAATGCAGTGGTCGTGGTTTTAAATAGATGGCTTGTTCACATCTGGAATTGGTGGAAGTTTTCCTTTAGGAATATAAAACATGGTAGAGGAGTTCAGGGGCCCTTGTTCTGCCTCTTTGGTGGGAGGCCAGAGCACATGCTGAAACTTTGCTTCCCCCTTCGAAGGATAAGTCCCAGTTTTATGTTTTAATAGAGCACTTGCCTGTTTATTACCAAGTGGGTCATAGAGCTGGGATTCTTACAACCGGTCAGCTTCATAGTACCATTTACTGAATGTCTTCAGAACGAACCCACTGTATTTTTGGCAGTGTGTTAAAGATACAAGACGTTGATGAAGATTACAGAATGAACAGAAGTTGGAGTTTCTAGGCCAAATGAACTGTTGCAATACAACACAAAGAAACTCTGAGAAACAACGGTCTCCAATTTCCAAATGTTTACTGTTCTAACACATTGTATCTTGGTGTAGGCATGGCAATTTGCCTAGTCTTTTACTTTGGAGTGCAACAAGCCCATGCGTCAGCACAACTTACACAGAAGTTGTGTCTTCCGATGGCAGCCTGAGCCTCTGTCTCCTTAGTAGCCTTTCCTCCACTTCCCTGTTGTCTCTGTCTCAGTGTTCGGGCAGAGGCAGGACGGATCCTTAGGGGCTGTTCCTGGTTGATGGAGCCACAGCACAAGTTGGTACTGCGAGTTCTGGAAGGCTTTTGCGGTGATTCAGCTTTCCCTTATGTGCTAACCCACCACACACAGCTCCTCTCCTCTGATGCTTTGCTGCTGCAGCAGTAAGGGGGAAGGAAGACAGAGGAAAATTGAGGGCATCTTCAGTCCCTTCTGCTCCTGACTCTTAATTTGCTGCCCCAGCTCTGGAAAGGGGGAGATAGAAGCAGAGGCAGAGTGGGCCTGGCTTGTACAGAGAACTTGGCAGTGTGGGATGAAGCTGGTGCACAGACTGCCGTCAAAACAGAAGTACCTGGTAGAAATGCTTGTGCATGTTTCCAGTCTGGCTCATCTCCTAGCCATGTGAGCACGCTAAGCTTGTGCTAATCAGTTTTTTCTCTTGGTGCAGTGCTGTATCTGCACTACTTAGCTGCAGAACTTCTGGACAAGCAGGCTGGTCTCTGGCCAGGCCAATGCATTGGCAAAGCAAACACACGCACGCATCTCCAGCTATCTTTGTGGCCTCATTTTCCTGTCGTGCTACTTGGAAGATTGCATCGCATTAATGGAGATCTGTTTTGTTTGGTGTTTAGATGGATCCTGAGTATCGGGTGAAAAAATTCTTGGCTCTTCTGAGAGAAGAAGGAACGTAAGTACTTTTATTTTAAAGCATTGTTTAAAATTCTCTTCTCCACTGAGAAACAAGGATCTCTTTGAGGGGAAACTGCAGTGTAGTTGTTGGCCCCTCCTATATTTACAGACTGTATATCAGATCAGTTCTCCTTACAGCTATATGCCGGTTGTTTTGGGAGGGGGGGAGGTCCTGAAGACTTTTTGAGAAGCTGCATGCCTGAATTATCTGCTTTTCTTAATTTACCTGTGACTTGAAAATTTAAATGAGATATTGGACCACAACTTAGCTTTCTTTAACTAAAGTAAATCAGAAGAGACTCTGCTAGAGTTCAGATCCAGCTGTTTATCTAAAATCTGGAACTTTGATTTCTTGTATTTCTCCTGTCTGAGAGAAGGATGTCCTACTCTTTCCCCTGTAGGTATCACAGGGAATAGTTGAGCCCAGTCTTGACAGTGGCATCTCCTAGAAAATGACTTTCTAATACATGTAGGGCAGTACCTGTGCTGGGGAAACTCACAACAGTATCCATCCTGGCTACATGTGAGTGGGTTCCAGTGTGTGCTTGATGCTTTTGTACATGTGCATGCTTTCTTGATGGATTTGGCTTCTTTTGCAAGAGTTCCTTCCCTAGACTGAAGGTGGACCAAGTGCAAGATCAACAGCTGGAAAAGTGACCAACCTGGAGAATATACACTGGGATCTTTACTCTTCCGTGTTCAACACGCTGGACAAAGCAAAATGCTCCCCTGTTTCCAAGAACCCGATGTGGAATCTGCATGTTTAGTGCAATACAGTATCTTTACTCTTCGTCTTTAATATACTGATGTCATGTGGAAGTGTCTTCTAGAACACTGTGCTTCTGTCTCTGTGCAGGCGAGGCTGCGTTCTCATTTGATTTTGGCATGGGGGAAACGTCCTGTAAGTTTTGAAGCTAACGCTCACCTTGTGTCCAGCATCCAGTTGCTACGATAGGAAAGAAATCCTGGTTTCTAGTAAGACCTGACAGTCTGTAGTGAAGGCATGTGTTATCCTGATCTGATGAACGCTTTCTTGTTACGTCATCCTATGCCTCATTGAACATTGAGCCAGGCCGATAACCTAAACACAGTGCCCACGATAATTCAGCTCCAGAATTGCCGAAATTGCTAATACCTGCTTTCTTTTATACCCAGGTATTTTGTGGCCCAATGAGAGAGACTGGCTAGTGGCATTAGGGACTGGAAGAAGGCAGGGAGGTATGTTGATCAGAGTAGAGGAATCTTCCAAATCCAGTATTTAAGGCATCGAAGCTTGTTGTTAATTCAACAGCAGTTTTAGAGATACTGATTCCAGCCTGAAAGCTCCTCACGAGTGCAATGTAGATGGCAGCTTTGGTATTAGCCAGCCTCATTATATCCTTTTTCTCTGCCGTGTTACCAAAAGTTGAAATTCCTCGTTAGAGACAGAGAGGAAGCCGAGCTCTGCAGATGCACGAGATGTGTATTGCCATGTTTTTGCACTGAAATAAAGGAATGTATCAAACTTCGCTATGTGGTCCTTCCCCCGTAGTCATCTCACGTCAATGAGATGCTGTTGACGACGACTGCATGAGGCTACTCCCCTCTGGTTCTTTGGCTCCACTTGTTTAACAAGGTTCATGGAACATACCTCAATTTGGTGGGGCATGAAATCAAAGCCATTTATGAGATCTTAGTCAGTGTAGCTTCCTAAACTTGACCAGACACGCTACTAAGGGCTAGTAGCTTGTAGCCAAGGCGGTGTTCCCGGGGAAGGAGGGTGCTTCACGTTCTTTCAGGCCCAAAGGTGAAGGTACTGTAGTCCTTAGTGCATACTTAGAGCAGTCGGAGTATTTTAGTCACTTCACTCTGGTTTCTTTTCCTTTGGCAGTGCTGTTGTATTGTGATAACATTGCGAGTCCCAGTGGTTATTATTCCCTCTCATTTTGTGTACGAACTTGTGAATTTATTTGTTCCTTTCTTTCCTCTGCTAGTCCTAGTGACAGCAGCACACATTAACTTATATTTCAGAGTAAATGATGTAAACCTTATTGTGTCTTTGTCCAGAACTATATTGATGAATAAATATCTGGTTTAATTGCACATTCAATGGATTCAATAAAAAGCACAACTACTTGTGATGATCTGGGAGACATCTGTGTCGTTGGTGCTGGTCAAACAGAGGTGTGTATATAGAGTGCTGATGTACAGCATGAAGATAACAAAACTATTTCCAGGCTGCTGATAGCCAGAGGGATGCTCAGTTTGTACCTAAGCATGGATGGATTGAATACATCCCCAGCCTGGGTAGCTTGACCACGGGTAGTCTTAAAGGAGTTGGCTGAGAAGACCTCCGGTCCAGCCCTTTCTAGACTCTTCTGGACGTTGCAGTGCCGCTGAAGCCCCAAAGATAGAATCATAGAATCATTTAGGTTGGAAAAGACCTTTAAGATCATCCAGTCCAACCATTAACCTACACTACCAAGTCCACCGCTAATCATTTAAGGGTAGAGTAGCAATTCCGTGTTTCCTGGCTTGGTGACTGGATTATTTTTTAATGAAAGTAAAAACTAGGAATCATTAAGGTTGGAAAGGATCTCTAAGATCATCAGTCCAACCATCAACCCAACACCACCATGCCCACTAAACCATGTCCCAAAGTGCCACATCTGCCCGTTTTTTGAACACTTCCAGGGATGGGGACTCCCCCACCTCTCTGGGCAGCCTGGTCCAATGCTTGACCACCCTTTCCATGAAGACATGTTTCCTAATTTCCAACCTAAACCTCCCCTGGCGCAGCTTGAGCCCATTTCCTCTCATCCTATCGCTAACTACATGGGAGAAGAGACCAACACCCACCTCCCTGCCCCCTCCTTTCAGGCAGTTGTAGAGAGCGATGAGGTCTCCCCTCGGCCTCCTCTTCTCCAGGCTGAACACCCCCAGCTCCCTCAGCCGCTCCCCACCAGCCCTGTGCTCCAGACCCTTCCCCAGCTCCGTTGCCCTTCTCTGGACACGCTCCAGCACCCCAATGTCCTTCTTGTGCTGAGGGGCCCAAAACTGGACACAGCATTCCAGGTGCGGCCTCACCAGCACCGAGTACAGGGGCACAATCACCTCCCTGCTCCTGCTGGCCACACTATTCCTGATACAAGCCAGGATGCTGCTGGCCTTCTTGGCCACCTGGGCACACTGCTGGCTCATGTGCAGTGCGTGTGTGAGTTGGGTGTATCGCACTTGAAGAAGGACATGTTGGAAAACCAGAACGAACTGTTGGGTATGGCCTCCCACCCGTTCCAGCCTATTCTGAGATCTCCGTCCAAGAAGTTTCCTGCAGGCGGCAGAAGAAAATGACTCCCGGCACCCCCTTCCCACCACATTTTCTCTGTGACGCGCTGCCTGGGCAAGAGTGGCTTTGTAGTGAGAACTGTAGTAGTTTAAACGGTTCTCCATCCCCTTCCTTACCCTGCTGCTGCTTTTTCCTGAACCTTCCAGAAATGCAACTGTCTCAAAAGCTGAGTTGTTAATCGAAGACAAAATACATTTGAAAGTGTTGGGGTGGGGTTTGGGGGGAGGATGGAGTTCTGGGGAGAAAGGCTTGGGATGATGGCAGACCCGCGGATCGCTTCCACTCGTAAAGCCGTTAAGCTCAACGCGCTCCGTGAGGGCAGGGCGCTCGGTTCTCTGGATCGCTGGCAACGCATCGGTGGTGTTCGCGTGACTTCGAAGGCGTCGCTGCCGCCATCCCGTGGGACATGGCGCCGGCAGAAGCGTGCCGTCTCCAGCGTGCGGCGAATCGTTCACGCGCATTCGTGCCGCAAGGCGGCAAGTGTCATTGCTTTGTGTATAAATTGGGGAGCGGTGTAGGAGTATAGAATGATTTTCTTTTTTTTTTTTTTTTTTTACCCTTCAGACAGGTATATTTGAGGGCCAGTGCTGTGGAAAATTGTGTGCACTTAAAAGCATGGTTAATGTATGGGAGATGTTGCGGAAACACCCACAAAATGATTAATGGACAGGAGAAGATGTTTTTATATGAGAAAATTGGGATCTCGGTCTGTCCAAACCATCCAAAGGTGATTCGGTGACAGCCTGCAAGTACATTGGTGGGGGCAGAATATGAAGTCTAAAGCCTGTTTTAATCTGGTACTCTCATGTTGTATGCACAGCGTGAGATGGCACTCTATAAATAAAAATCTTAGCATTCAGCTGTAAAATCTCCTATATTTGCTACGTTTTCCCATCATCGTCTTGCATTCCTGTGACTGTCGCTGTGCGTAAGTAGCTGGATGACGACCCAGCGCTCCCGTAGA